GATCTGATAACTTGAGTTTTTTTTTCAGGGAACAACTTTCACAAACTTTGTCAATGATTGAATGAACTATGAAATGTAAATAAATATAAATGTAGTTTTGATTTCTTCAACTAAATTGCAACATACCACAGCTGTTCTATGGTATCATTCATTTTTTTTGCGTAGCAGCTCGGTTGAGAATCACACCTTCAGTGTAAAAGATTAGTTAAAATAGACCATAAACTGTAAGGCTTTGAGTGAAGCCAACAAAATTTCTGAAAATACATGAAAATACGAATTAAGGGTTTTCTCCCCCATCTCATTAAAAAGATTCCAATCCTATCACTGCTGTGGTATATCCACTTTGAATGGTGAACTTTGACCTATCACCACCATTGGGCAATTATTAATAGTGGCTATTATAGAGCACTTAAACAGTGCATTATGTCAACTGAGATGCATTCTTAGCCATTTAAAACATCATTACAATCAATCAGGCCTGTATAGTTGCTAGGTGGTTGTCAAACCCATGAGGACTTTTTTGTTTTGTTTTATTAGACATTGAAGTCAAGTATTGTGACATTTCTGATGTCATGCTTCCCCCATGATGAGTTTATTGTGCTAGCCTGTTCCAAGCTCTGTACCATTACTACCCTTTATTACACCGCAGTCCATGCCAGAGTTTAATGTTAGGCTGGTTTAGCTTGCTTATAAAGTTAATTAAATTAAGAGAAATATCTGAGTTGTAATGTTGTGAGGTCTGAAGTACTCAAAGTTGATGGCTGTGATGTTATAGGAATTGTGTTATAATGACGGGACTTTATCCTGCTTTAGCACATAAGCTATGAAACAGATCAAAAAATAAACAGAAATCCCTAGCAACCACTGACAGTTCCACTACACATTTGCTCCGTGTAATATTTTTCATTGCTGAGAGATACATAAACTAAACACAACTAAAACTTTACAAAAAGTTTCTCAATATTTTCTTGATGTTTCTATAGTAACACTAATTCAAACTGCCCAAAACTGGGTTTTGAATATTTGAATTTTGATGAGACAATGAATAGTTGTTGTAAGTTGCCAATATGATTTTTTAAATTTTTTGTGCCAGGCGACAGTTGTGGATATTGAGTGTCACTGTTGTCTCTCCTGACATTTTTTTTGTATTTGAAAATTGCAAGTGCTGACACATAGTGCATTTTGCCACAGAAGTCATATTCATGTTTGGGACTACATGACAGGGCTGTGTGGCCATCTCTCTGTCAAATTTTTTTTTAATGCGCTATCCTGGCGTCAACCAGGCTCGGTCGAACACAAGCACCTGCGGACCTTAACCAAAGTTCCCCCAAAGTCGAATTCGTTAGTGAATGAATCTTGTCCAGTGGAATTGGCCTTCCCATTGAGTCTGTGGCACACTCACCCAGGGTAGGGTCGACCCTTTGATGTTCAGCCTAAGGTAGAATTTGAACTTGGTCTACCTATTATGAGTCTGATGTGACAACCAATATGCTACCAGTGACCGGTACTACCAGATAAATTTACTTTATTCTTCCTTAGTGTTTTTACATTTCTGTAAAAGTTTGACCACTGTGTCTGATAAAATGCACATCTGTACATATGCAATATTAAATAGAAATAGTTTTTTCCTTTAAATATAAATGGTAACCAGTTCAATGAACATAGAATGAAAACAAGCAGCCATAGAGTTTTCCAGTTCAATTATATGCATCATTTGATCTGTCACATCTAGTATTAATTGATCCAAAATAATTTCAGTAACTCTGGTGATAAGCTTAGAAACGTAATTGGAAGATTATATGTACAACCATGGTATTTAAGCACCGAATATAAGTAATATATTTGAATACAATACTGTCTTTTTCTTAAATTTAAGGCTTTAGTGTTTGTTTTAAATTTATTGGACACATTTATTGCATTGTATAGTTTTGTAATCTGTGCATCAGCTGTTGTGATCATTTAAGCGTTATTTCTAAACATATGAGCTTATGAATTCAATTTAACATAGTAAATTACCAGTAAGTGAGGGCATATGCCCACCTGTAATCAAATTATATTTGAAATAGTCATATGAATAAAATAAAAAAATGCTGTCAGTGAATTTATATATCATGTAATTTTGTGATTTATTTCTTTTAACTGGCACAAAATAATATATTGATGATGCCTGGGGCTTGTGGTCACCTGTAGAGTAGTCTTAATGACAAGCTGTATGTTAGCATTGCAATAGTTTGCTGTAATACTCAATAAGTATTTAAATTTGGCTGTTATTTTACTAGTAGTGCTTGTCTCCTGGGAACACAATTCATTTCACATCCTCTGTATGAGTATTCCCAACAGAATTGCAAACGACCTAAGACAGAGTTAATGACCACACGTTGCCTGTCAACATCAATTGAATGTCTTGTTACAGATGCTTTAAAAAGTCATCCAAGCTAGAAATATAGTGATTTTTACTTATTTGTTGTCAGTTGTGTTGCATTCTGTGATTTACAATTTCTCAACACCTTGTAATTTATCAAACTGATAACTCGTAATTTGAGAGATTAACGCTATAAGCCCTGATCTTGTGCCTCAATAAATTTAGTCAAATAAGCACCATTACTGACAAGAACGAAATATGGCAAAAATACTTGTTTTGTTTTAAATCATTAACACACAACCAAAGAGGACAGTCATTTGTAATTTTGTATTAACTTAGTGTCTTAAAACCTATATCAGTTGAGTCTCTGTGGAGTCTATAAATTAAGATTGCTTGTATCAGATGGAGGTGTGCTTCTAACCAAACCAAGATAGATAAGAAATCACTCACAATCATACTTCAATAATGTGGCAAATATACCCTAAACGTGACCCCCGCTTTTGACAGTGTATATACATGTATCTCAGATTTCCAAATATTTAAACAGCTATTCTGTCAATCTGTAGTGTCCATCAACCCAAACAGAGAACTGGTCTCATTGTATATTACATTTATCTCATATACTATATTTATACAAATTTGTTCAAATCCATGCCTAATTATTTTACAAAATAGAACTGGGATACAAAGCAAATGAATTGTGTTGAAACCCCCTCCCCGTCCATATAGAAAAATATCCATGATTCTTTGTACAGCCAGCTATAACAGTGATGTATTTATCACTATGACAACTACTAACCTCGTCAAGATCAAGTATGAGTTCAGTGTTGGTATGCTAGCTGCTAGAAGGGTGTTTATAAGTCCCAGAAACCTACATTCCGGGTTCACATGATGTCAGGCACACTATGTAGCTGAAATGAAGTTAATCAAAATTACTATGTGGAATACAACCATAATGGTCCGGTGTGAGTGTACCCTGCACTGCTGATTGTATATGCTGTGAGTGAAATACAAACTCTTGAAGATGTTGTATGTTTTGTTTTCTAGGTCTTGGAGAATTTTTTTGAATATTCCCTTGCGATTTCTTCTTTATTTACTGTCATACATGTAGTTGTATCTCATGAATAACAGATTTTTTGTCCTGTTGAAAATTGCAATTGAAATTCTCGATATCTGATATCTTGTTTTGGGTATCTGAAATTATTGTCTTGTGTAGCTGTACGAGTTTACATAATAATAGGCTTATTTGCATATTTATTTATGTACATGTGTTCTACAAGCCTCTCTGGATTTATTTAAATTGTAAAATTGTTACCAAATTATTTTGAGATAAATTAAAAAAAAATTGTAACATATAGTCGTGACAGAGGAAGCGTACTATTGACGTCAGATTAGCCCCTCCCTTAAGTAATTCTCTGTAAACAGTGAGTACCTGCTGTGATGTCACCTGGATATCTTCTCATCAGTTCTCATCATACTTGATGTATGTCACATTTATTATTTGATTTATTCCGGCTTTGTTTCAGTCAATGATGCTGTGTATCTATAATAATAAATCTATTTTTCATGTTTTCAAACTAAGTTTTACCTTAACCTTTGATTGCAAATTAAACTGTTCTTACCTTTCACCAATAAAGCTGCATAATATCATATTTTTTCAAAACAATTGATCATATGTGTAGACAGTTGGAAGTTATTAATTAAATTAACTAAAATAAATTAAAAAACAGATTATAAAAATATATTTATAAAAATGTCCAAAATATTGCACTGAAATGTTTGTTGGGAAATTGCTTTCAAAAGGTTAATCTCATTTCCAGATTGTATACAAAGCGTATTATAGGCTTATGATATAGAATTTTATGGAAAACAAAAACAAGTCTTAAGCTTAAGCAACACAGACAGTGGGGATTATTATCTTGTGGCATTGAACCTTTAATCGGGATAACCATAATTTTTGTGCTAAAAAATCATAAAAAATCGAGCATTTCTAGCATTCCAGAACTGGATCTTGGCGTTTATGAATGGATTGTCTTTAAACTTGGTACATACATTAGAAATTATGGGTTCCTGATGCACGTCATTTTATCTTTCAGATCGGATTCAAAATGGTTGACTGGCGGCCATTTTGTTTAAATGAATTCGCTTCTAGGGCCATATCTCTGATATGCTTTGACTGATTATGTTCAAATTTTATATATTCGTTTTACATCATGTTATAGATATATAGATGTATTCAAAATGGCCGACTGGTGGCTATTTTGTTTTAATTAATGCTGTTCCAGAGCAATATTTTTCAATATGGACAAGTACTTGTTTGATAATCAGATACAAGATGTCAATCATTTTAATGTTAAAAAATCATCGAAATGAAGCATCATCTTTTGGATCCATATGTCTATGTTTATATTACTATAAACAAAACTATATATCTTAAATTTGATAACTAACGGGGACTGTGTCATGCATGGCTTGTATATCTAAATTTGATTTCAGGATTCTGTGTGGATATGATTTCTCACAAACTGAACAAAATTCTAAGCCCTTGTCATGCTTATGATGAAAATTTTTCTACAGATCATAAAAAGTAGGAATGCAACGTTATTAAATAACTGAATATCTTCTCCTATATTTTCAGCTCTATTTCTATCATAGTGGTCGATGTAGAATGGAAATGCAAGACAGGGATATACACATGTTACAAGTAAGTCATTTCTATTGCATAATATATCACATGCCCTCCACAGTATTGTGAATGCATTAACAATTCACCATCTTCGTGAATATGTAAAATAACAATAAATTCATTGTTTCCTTGACTAATTCGTGAAATTAAAACATCGTGAATATGTTCAAAACATCAAAATAGTGAAAATAAATGATTCTACAGTATATGCCACTGTAATTATATAGCCATCTGCTATATGTATTTACCGTACTCGACCACGTTAGCGCCCATGCTCAGTCAAGCACCCACCCCCCCACTTTTGCGCAATTTTTATATTCGGGGTCACATTCGGCAAAGCACCCACCCCTTAAAAATGCTAATAATTTATCGTTTTTATATGATACATCGTGGATATCGACCGCCGTGAATATGTTGTGAATGTGTAGACCACGGTAACCGTGCGTAAACTACACTTCAACAATGACTTGTTAATAAAAGTAAAATGCAGTAAATATTTCATGCTGTATTCAGTTTACCGATAAAAAATTGCTATATTACCATTAAAAAAAACAAAATCATGTCGTTTACTCGCCGAAATCAACTCCAACAGATCGTACTTCTACATCGATAATTCACTTCCGCATTGCGTTACTCAGTACCACACAGCATTTTGATTGGATAATAACACACTTGACCCGTTAGGTCAAAGGACGTTGATGCAGGTCAAATGCAAATACATCATGGCGGAAAGAGTTTGCGTACGATCGGACACATTCGTCAGTGGCGGTAATGAGAAAGATTTTGACTTTGACTGTGTTCCAACAGACTCAAATATTTTTAATCTTGTAAATTCGGGTGGTACGTAATTAATATTGTAATAAAATGGGCATATTTGACCATCTCGTTTCTTCATTGTAAGAGTCAATGACGACTCACCTAATTTCGTAATTTTATTTTCCCTCAAACTTTCAAAGACGTAATATCCCCCTAAATCTGTCACACAGTGAATAAAAATTGTCAGTTCCGAGGGGGGTGCTCGGGTAAGCGCCCACCCCTAAAAAATCTTGATTTTATGAGTTGAGGACCCTGGGCACTGACGCGGTTGAGTACGGTATATGTATAATGCTGTTGCATTTCAAATTGCTAATCTTTTTTAAATGTTCTAAATGTTTTAAATGTTCGCCTGTGTTTTGATCTTGAACCACAATAAAATTGGGAAAGATGCAGTGTAAACTTCAATCATTTGTTGATTACAGTAAAATATAGGATGTACAATAAGGATGTCTTTTCAGAACATCCCATCAAATTTGAATCAATATATCTGAAAATTTCAATATGACTCATTCAGATTACGATTTTAAAAAAAGAATGTGATGTTAGATTTAGGCACAGACCTATCTGTGAACTTTAGTAGAGTCCTGTACAACTAGTGACTTTAATTACATTAGCTCTTGTAAAGGAAATTTAGAAAAACCAACCCCAAAATTAATTAAGCACTTTGGAGGAGAAGTGCACCATTAAAAGTCAATGAACAGATTACTCCATTACATACCTCCTAACACAGTTAATAGATGACTGTCAGGTGCTCTTTTAGTTGACAAGCCCAGTAAGGCTTACATGTATTTTACATACATTGGAAAGATCAAGAATACTGTATTTGCTCTATTGAAAATGCTTCTCTTATAGAAGTATTGTAAAAATACACATGTATTGCTTGTTTTGACCGTAGACACCATTACGTAAGTGAATGTGTACTAATGGAGTAAATACTGTGAAATACTTTATTTTAGCTGGAATTAATTTTTGCTGAAAAGGCATTTTGGGTGTTTTGTATGGAATTTATTTTCACTGATTTTTGACGAGTTGAATGTGGAATATAGGGAAAAAAGTATATTCGCTGGATTTTATTTTTACGGAATCATCCTTTCAGCGAAAATAGCAAAAATAAATTCCAAGCGAAAATAAAGTATTCTACAGTACAGTAATTGCTTTGGGGATTTGGGAGTGTGAAAAACAACAATGTGTGACTAGAAACTAGTTTACATACTTTTTAACATGGAATGAATGTTCTGTCAGAAAATTTCAATTTATTCCTTGTGCTCTGCTGCGACAGTGCGCTTACACTGTGTATATGGTGTATAATTGATTGTGTGTTAACTCAAATAGACATTTGCATCTATCAAGTTCAGGAGATAGTGATCACATTGATTAAACTTGTCCAATTTGCTATGATTATGCATAAGGCATTTATTTTCCAATCATAGTATTAACATATTGTAAACTATAAAATTGTTTCTTATGTGTTGTACTGTGAAACCATTTATTTTCATTGACATATAATTTCACTATTTTAACGTTTTGAGCAATTTCACTGGGTTTTAAGTTAACAAACTTGGCAGGGAAACAATGAGTTATATTGTTATTACACAATTTCACATATTTAATTTAGCGAATCACATTTATCAAAGAGAGCTAATTAAAAACCAGTGAATAATTAGTGCATTTACAGTAGTATTCTCAGTAAACACTAGCTTACAATGGCTAAACCAGTAGTTTTTACATACAAAGGGTCAGGGTAAAAATTATATTATACTGGTACTAAGAGAATTACATTGACAATTTTATGCCTGAGTAGTAGCTAAGTCTGAACACCCACTGTATACGATAATAGTCATGAAAATTCATCAACTGTGTGTAGGAATAATAAATGGATTAAACTGACTGACGATTGTTGCTAATTTATGTTTATTAACACATCTATAATCACAGCTGAAGTACGGTTCACATATAAATAAACTATTGACATCATCTTCTTTAATCAGACTGTTGAAAGAAACAAATTATTAGTGTTATTAGCAGTAGGGGGACAAATCCGCTGTGATTTCACAATCTCATCTCATGGATAGGTGATGCATGGCAAACCCACCTCAATTGTTATACATGCCAGTTACATACTGCCTAATCGTGCGTGCATGTATATTACCATGTTGTCATGACAACCACATAGTTATAACACACGCTTTCTGTGTATTTTCTTTGTCTGTCACATTTCCTGTTTTATGTGAAAAACAAAATACATTTGTTATATTGTAATGATATTGATTAGAAATCTTTATTTGGTTTTTCATCTTGTTTTCCTGCAATTTATACTAATTTATTAGACAGTGTATTTTATCCCATACTGGCCTGTAGTGTTGAATAGAAAAATTTATGCCTTTCACTAGTATTGTGGTGAATTCAAATGATCCACATTTGTAAAATGCAAAATTAAATAGAATTTTTTGCTCTTGAAATTGTGTAACATTAAAGAAGATGGCATCAAGGATGAGCTCCTATATGGAGCTAGAACATTTTCGTGAACTATGGTATTTAAATAGTACTTGATCTTTTGTTTGATATATACTAAAACATTTAGATACTATGTAATCTAGTCTGAACCAGTTTCAAGTCTGATGGAAATGGTTGATTTTACTTTTGCCTGTGGGTCCTTAAAGGTCTACTCTTCATGTTCTTGGCACTATCATTTTAAAAGTTTTTTTTTTTTTTATTTTGTTGAAAATGGATTAAATTGGGCTATGAACGAACTAGATTGAGTAGCTACTGAGGTTACGCATGATCCTGATTGATTTTGTTACAAAGTTATTTTTATCTGGACAATTATTGCTGTTTGAATTCTGCTGCAGGTGTGCATTAAGCACTGCTAACCTAGAAAGTATGTTAGTTCAATCAGACACAGTGGCAACAGGAGTAAGAGAAAGAAATCTTTGATTGGGTGAAACGATAAGGTTGTCTATATTCAATAAATGTTATGTACAAAATGTAACAGTTACACTTTTTGCCAATAACCAAAAATCACCAATCATAATTGCTAGCTTATTTTAAGATTAAGTTTTCAGTATCTTAGGGGGTCAGAAATTCACTAAGAATGTTCTAATCAGTGATCTGCAGATGATCTTATCATGAAATCAAAATTTGTCGTAAGGCAAATCCTATAAAATTGGTCTGTAATGCATGATAGACTATTGATTTGTTTCAAGTATAGCTGAAGAACTTATGGCAGATATGTAGGAAATGTTGCCAATATATCATGCATACCCTATTTTCTTTGACATGCATTTTTGTTAGAGGTTCATGTTTAAGTTATATTTGTATATAATGTCATAATATTTATATAGTATTGTATCAATCCACGCTACATACAGACAAGAATTCATGTTACTGTGGCACACTGGCAGTAATCACAAATGATGCCTTTAAACTTTTATTATTGTGGGAATTTTATTTTCATAAGCCAAGGTAGGCATATAGTCATTTGCGTAGTCAGAGACGTCCACAAGTAACGAAATTGGTATGAATTTTGCCAGAAAGTACCAAAATCAATAAGAATTCTCCAGAAATTGAGTGGCTCAACAAATATTTCAGTTCTAGGCAGTAATCAGTTGTCAGTTTCAAAACATGGATCCACTGATGCCCATCAAGTGAAACACTGGGGACTTAAGTTGTACAACCTGGAAATGTTTTTTGACTCATCATACTGGGTTACTGATGCACATTGTTTTGTTTCCTGAGTTTATTGGTTGCCATTTTGTTTTTTCTCATGCATTCTACCTTTTCCTCAGATACACAAAGGCAATACATTATGATATGAAACACTTGTTCAGGGCTTTTAGATCAAATTTAATTGAGTGGCAGCCGTCAACTGTTTCTGGCCTGGGCCAATTTTGTTCAAGCTTGCTATGACAACGTATATTGGGTTTTGTTTTGTGATTTGATTCCAAACGATCACACCTGACATTCATATTGGTTTTATTATACCCCGACACATAGTGCCGTCAGGGGATATAGTGGCATTCGTCCATCCATAAAAAGTCATATCAAGAAAACTATTGAAGATGGAGACATTCAACCTGTGCATTGAATACATTGTAGACTTGTTGCTATCATAAAGTTACTAAGTTTTTTTGTTTGTTTTTTCAGATTGGTGGTGTTTTGATGGATCCCAATGAGTATATCATAACACTGTTGAATAAATTCAATTTAGTCAACGTTATGAGAGAAAGCTATGATAAAATACCTCCCACTGGAAGTGAGGTGAGTCATCCTGTATGTAACTACAATCATTATGATACAAATGTAGCTAGCATTTTGCAAAACGAACATATATACATATATCGGTAGCATTGCTATTGTAAGGATACAGTATATATTAATAAGTTGACAACCATACTACTGTGTTACTGCCCTCTAACACGACTGATTTTGTACGGATTTTAATAAACATTGAGTCGGCTTGTTGACTAATTGGGAAAGTTGTCTTCAAGAAAAAAAATACAATTGTATGTGACTGTATAGGTAATTTGCATAGGTGATTTACAGCACAAACAAAAATTTTGTTGCCCCTTATTTCCTTTGTTTTTACCAAATTACGAATTCCATAACTGTAGTAAGATGTTTTTCATTTTTTTTGTTGCGTCAATGACACGCCAATGAATTAGCAACACAGAGATTCTTTGTGCATCAGTGGGTTGTCATATCAAGAGGACACAATTCTCTTTGTCAAATTCATAACATATGCCAAACAAATTTGTCTGAAACTCTACATCCTCAGGTTTTAAACCATGTGTGGTTTGTGTGTAATGCTACCACACTGGTACAAGGATCAATAATGTGTAATTTTCAGCAAGTATATGTAATCTGAAAACAGGTAATTGGTAAAAAACTTACTACTAAATCTTATGTAATGACACTGAATTTGTCATCCTGTTTGTTTTTTTGTTCTACAGGAAACACAGAAACAGATGCATTCGGACACATTGACTGAAGAATTCCTTGGGTTGTTGATAGTTATACTTAGTAAGTACACTTGGACGGAGGGGGGGGGGGGGAGGGTGCCTGATCTGATCTGATCTGGATGGAACATTTCAAAGTCAGTCATTCGTAGGCCATCCTTGAAGCAACAACATCCCTTTTACAAACAGATGCAATAATTTTAGCGATTTCTTTACTCAATAATCCTCAACAAAACATCAAGTAGAAAAATACAGGCTCTAAAATTATGCCTATTGCAATACAATTCAACCAACAGCCAGTTTGGTGCCATAATTTGTTGCTGGAGCTCTATGCATGATTTTATTGCGTTCAAACTTTCATTTCAAACTGCGCACACAAAGTGATTTCTCAAAATGCATACTAATTAGGTAACTTGTTAGTGATAAAAGTTACTGAAAACATTTTGAGCAATTTTGAGCAAAAGTACTCATGAATATTAATTTATACAAATTAGACTTGGACCTAACAATACTGTAGTAAAATAAAAGCATTACCTTGCAATGAGGGCAATAGCATACATATGTATGTCTATTACCGTAGAAGGAATGTGGTTCAGCATATGCATATGAATATTTCTTTGAATCCAGAGGAATTCATCTTGTACTATTAAACTCCCCATTGATGACAATGTAAAAGCATAAAAACAAAGGCTACTACAATCAAACCTATGATAGTGACCACCTCCATAGTAGCCATTTTTTGGGCAGTCCAAAGGCATACGAGCTATCTGTGTATAAATATTGACTACCTGTCTCGTGACCACCATTTTAGCAATATTTTTGCAGATTCTCCTTGGTTTATATTGTTGCCTTGTGTTGAGCGCAGTCACCAAGGAGTCTTTATGTGAAAAAAAAAGTGTATGCTTATAGGATAACGTAACTTTGGGAATAAAGTTTTCTAAACTGTTGACTAATAAAGTCATATCATATTGTTCATCATGGCAAGGAAAAACCAAGAAATGATTGAATGTGGACAGCAAGACGTTACCTGGTTACCCTCATCAGTTGTATAAGTTAAATTAACCATGACAGTCTAATTCCAGCATAGGATAAGCTATGAATTTCATTCTCAGGTGAGAGATATGCCACTGGTATTGGTGAAATTACAGAGGAGGATAGAGTGAGCAGAGAAGTCATACAACAGCTGTGTATTTGTCCAATGGCACATAGTGAACTTAGTAAAAAACTTACAGAAGATGTAAGTGCATTTTTATTATTAAATTGATCTATACGCAGTTAGTCTTTGTGAAAAACAGCATTAGCAAACTTTTGTTTTTATGAGAAACAATGATTGTGTTTTATTTCAAACTATGTTCATTTCTATCAAAATAGCATAACCATGAAACTGGTTTGGAATCTGTCATACATAAAGTAGCTATATTCAAGTAAGTATCCAAGTATAAACATTTTTGTTATTGTAATGTGATAATTATCATTGTTGATAACAGATATGAGTGTGCCATCAAAAGTGAAATGTATTACTAATTTCAAGTATTTATTTGTTAAACAGAAAGCCTGGTGCAACAGGGAAGGGACTGTATGAGTTAAAACCTGAGTATTTTGAAAAATATGATCCATTTTTCTATCATTACTCTAAGGCTGAGCAGTCTAAGGTTATGAAATTTTTTTTTTTTTTTTTATTTGACTGCTATTTTTAATACTTCACCATCTCTGGTCTTGGTTAGTGTTATGTTAATGATTTCAATATATAGATGACTGTATTGCATTTTTTATTATCTATTATGTGGCATACTTGTTTGTGATATTGTGAATTGCTTATTTTTCACTGCTAGGAATTTTTTTGATTTGATGATTTTATGGCATTAGTGAAGACAACAGAGAAATTTTTACTGACTGGTGAAATTCACAAAATGTTTCTCTGTGAAATAAAAATGGTTTACAGTATATATCAAATGTGGTATTTCTTATGAAGTATGTTTTGAATTATATTAACATGTACTTTTAATGTGTCTACAGTCGGAGGAGACACAGAGGAAGAGGAAGAAAGCAAACGGAGAAGGGGAAGGTGAGAATCCATTTTATTTGCAGATTCAGATTCTTCTTTTTCCCTCCTTTTCCAGATGTTTCAAAGAACATTTTAAGAAATATCTTTTAGTGGTATCCTATTGTGAACATTGTGTTCCATGCAGTTGGTGAATATTTTGAATTCTGAAAACTTTTGAATGATGATTCATGTGATTATTCGCTCTGAATTTCAGTTATATTTTGTCAAAATTTGTACATTTAGTTGTTTCCAAGTTTAGGATTTGAGCAACCTATAAGTATGTGAATTGAGCTATATATGTTTGTACTGACGATGCCAACTGACTTTTATGTTCATCTGTATGAAGTGTGTCTGCATCATCTCACACAACTTTACACTACATATCATTGTCAGGCATGATAAGATCTTTCCATGTTTTATATCAAATAGCAAATAAATGTTATATGTGAAATCTAAACAGGTTTCAATTGTTGGCATACCATCATACCATCAATGATATAGGTGATATAAGTTTTGTTTAGGAGTACATTAGAACAGTCTATTTGTGTTCTTGGGCAGACTAAGTCAATTTAGTGGGCAGTGAATGGGCATATTGATGTGTGTCCAAAGTATTTAATGTGAGAACAAGTAAATAGACAATTTGATTGTATGTTGATTTATTTCTGTGGAGAAAGCTGTGTGTTCCCAAATACAATATTTGTTCTATTAGATGTGCACATATACAAAAAGTTGCATTTATTGTATGCTGGATTAATAAAATGTGAATTCTTACATAAGTGTATATTTTACTAATAGAACAAATATTGTAACCTGACTCAGATTAGCCATGTATAGATACAACTTTCATTTACATCAATGCATGCTCCAGAGCAAACACAGTACTTGTGGGAACACTAATAAATTTAAGGTGTTCATATTAACTGTTTTATTAACAGGAGTTCTTTATAGGTTTTGTCTCTCTAAATGTTATTGTTGTTTGATTGCAGCCTTGCCACCACCAGTGCCTCCACAGTGTACTGATGCATTTAAACCATTATCAAGGCTACTACACTGTGATGTGATGACACACGTATTCTGTACCATTCTCAGACGAGCTACAACGTTCAGATCTAGAGGATGGACTGAAACCATGGTTCAACGGGTACGTATTTCATGTGTCAAAAAAATGAAGTAAGAAATCCTATCTATTGAGGGCGCTATAGAGCTGAGAAAACAAAAGTTTATGCTCTGTGAGGGCAGTATTAAGTGACTAGTGTTTTAATCTTTCATCCCTGCCGATTCACAAGTGTTGAGCACTCTGGGTATATACGGTATTAGAGTTTGGGTATACTTAACTGTCGTAAAGTCATCACTGATTGTTTTATAACACTAACAGACATTGTATCTGATTGGTCTGGCTCTACATGAAGAAAACATTTATCATAACCAACAAGAAGATTTTGGATTCATAAACAAAGCTACATCAGGTTCGTGTCTACTTCTCTGATGGGTAATTTTCCTACGCTCAGTCATACTTACTTCATCAACATTTGATATTAGAATATTTAATGTACTCAATGGGCATAACCGTCCAAGTTTGTTCCCTGTTGGTGAAATTGTGTTGTCTGTACATTTTCTGTCTGTTCAATTCTGCGTGTTTGCAATTCTTGTGTCCAAACTGGAAATTGAAATGTTACAACCTTACCAACTGTGTGTTATTTCCAGTAATACCCAACCAGTTTGCATGTATCTACTATGCTAATTCTGTTGGTGAATAATTAGTTATATGACATGATGTACCGGTACTGATAGTAACTTATTATTTGTCACTTAGAATCTAGTTATACATGTAGTAATGAATTCAAACTACCGGTAGTTTTAGTGAGTAGGTAACCAATTCAGACTAGTCATAGTGAACAACTAATTCAAACAACTTAGAGTAATTAATTATTTCAAACTAATTTTAGTGAGTAAAAGCTAATCCTAACTAGTTATGGTGAGTGATAACTAATTCTAACTAGTTTTGGTAGGTCACAGATTAAAACTACAATGTAGTTATAGTGATTAACTATTTCAAACTATTTATAGTGAGTAAAAACTAATTCTAACTTAGTTATTGTAAGTGATTTCATATCTAACACATTTGAAACCAAACTAATTTATACTATTTACAGTAAGTGATAACTAATTCAAACCAGTTATAATGATTAACTAGTTCCAAACAAGTTATATTAAATGATTTCATATCTGACACACATCACCATAGTGACTCAAAGCATAGATCTTAAAATACCTTAAGGTTTAAGCTCAAGGTAAAAATAACCAATAAATTTGGCCAAAGTTTTATGATTTTGTTTCGAATAAAAATTGTCCCTGTATGACCATAGACTAAGATTATTTATAAAATACTGCTTCAGCTCTTTGGTGTTTTCTTGCCACTCCCCATGTAAAAATATGCACCCATTTCAGTCATCCAGGGAATTAACCTCAGCTCTGTGATGTTTTCCTTACCATTCCCCATGTAAAAATATGCATCCCTTTCAGTCATCCAGGGAATTAAAGCTTGTAATATGTCAAAAACTGTCTTCTATTTTCTCAGACGTCCAAGCTGTACATGTAAATACACCAAGACCAGGGTGCTTTTCTTGTATTCCTCACCACACTTCACACAACAAGGGTGAGCTATTACCCAGTTCTTCATTGTCACATATTAGAAACATTAAAACTAAGTTATTATTTATTTTGGGGTGCCCTTTGAAAATGTCCTTGTCGCATACATATGCTATTAATATTTACTGTTCTAGGGAGTCCCTGTCTGCTGACATTGCTCGAAAACCTGGCTAAAGTACAGAAACTAGAGGAACATAAAGATTTGCTGTCATGGGTACTAAAGGTAATGGGTTCTCAGCATTGTAGTTTGATCATAGACAAAGTACATCAAATATTTGCATTCATTATCATAAATTACCATATATCAATCATCAATTGGCAGTTTTACCATATAAATTGATATATGCAAATTATTCTTAATATGGTATTATGCTAATTTATGTAAATGTTTCTACAGTTGCTAATTTATGCAAGGTAATTCCATCTATGGTACAATGTATATGAGAAACCTGCTTATTTTTACTTACAGCTCTTCATTTATTGCTTCACCAATTTGAATTTATTATTTGCAGACTTTTGCAGCTGTGCAGCAACTGAAAGGAAAAGAAAGTACCAGTGTTGAAGTGAAAACTGATATTGATGCCGAGAAGGAAAAAAAACGAAAAGCTGAATTAGCGCAACAGAGACGTGCACGTATCATGGCACAGATGTCAGCAATGCAGAAAAACTTCATCAAAGTTAATGCTGAGTTGTTTCAAGAGACCAGTACTGAGCTGGATTTTGAAAGTGGAGGCTCCTCCATGGATACAAGGTATTAATGGTGTTCAATGCCTCAATATCTGTTCTCACATTATCAGATGAACTCTTCTCATACAGATGTATGTCATACAACCAAGGACCCAGAATAGCATGGTTGTTTTTTTGAATATGCTAATGACTGTGAAGTCCAATTTGAAATTTGAAAGCATTTCCACCAAAATAGGACATGAAGAACAAACAATAAGCACAGTACAGGCAGTATTGATACCTCATGTTTTTGCACACATCTCAAGACTAGAGGCATCAATCCAACGGATGCACTATTATATCCTTAGTTGTAAAGTTGGTTCAATGTATTTCATAGACTGAAAAAAAAATTAAATGGTATGAGGTATGGTTATTATCATAGTACTGGTTATGTGTATTTGTATTTCTCACAGTGAGTTTAGTGCTCAATACCCGGTAGCTGTTGGTGCCAAAAGAACTAAAGTAACAGAATTTGGTCTGACTAGGTGTACATGTATTTTATGCCAGGAAGATCAGGAACTAACATTAGATGGAAGAGCCATGATATTGGCATCTTTAGTCCAAAGGTGGGTAATCATTACATTTATGTTCATGTAACTGTAGTTGTATTGATGATTGTTAGTAACACTATCATTATATTTCTCTCTACTCGTTTGGGACAGGTGATTCCCCTATAAAAACAAAAGAATATACACAATTGCACATTGGTGTTGCTCTACATTTTGTCTTTACAATGCTATGCTTTCACAGTCACTAAACACTGCTTCTTGTATAATAGGTCAACTGTGTTATCAAAGTCAAGGGGCAAGACAATAAAAGATACAGGTATGTTTTAATTTCTTTCATTTATATTTTGGGTTGCTCTCAGATATGCATGTATCCTTCATATACTGTACATCGATTACTGAAAAATTCTTATTTTTCTTATTGCAGAAAAATACGACCCTTTGTTTGTTCCACCAGATTTGTTTTGGGGAACTCATGTTAGTACATGTGGTCATGTCATGCATTTTGACTGCTGGCAAAGGTAAGACATATGTCTAATATTTGGTTCTATCCCTTACCCCTCCAGCACTTACAGTATCACACTTGCACACATAGATGATTTACTTTTCTTTTCACTGCAAGTTTTACCATAAAATGCTCAGTGAAATTATCACCAAAAAGTTGCCTATGTATTATCTACAATGCTTGGATATACTGTAAATCATTAAAATATCACTTACTGGTGAAATTTTCATGCTTTCATGTTCTATGGCATTCATAAAGAGAAAGTCACCTACCCCAGAGAAATTTTTACTGCTAGAAAATTTCTTGATTTTAGCGTAACTGTGAAATTCCTGATTTTTTTACAAATTAATGAAATTTGTAAAAATTTGTTTTTTGCACTGCTTTAATTTATGTGTAGTGGGAAGTTGGACGGACGTCCCACATTAAAGCAATACAATCTTGTTTGTTTGTGCTTGATAACATAGTTTCCTTGTTCTGCTTAACTGTTCTATTGTGTACTGTGATCACAAATGTATGTTTTGTTATTGTTCATTTACAGGCTGTTTGAATCTGTCGTTGCCAAGGTACAGCGACGACCTTTAGGTTTCCGTTCTTACCTAAGTTTTGATGTTGATAAACATGAGTATCTATGTCCCCTTTGTGAATCACTGAGCAATGCAGTACTTCCGCTGTTACCCCATCCAGCAATGCAGTTGTCTTCATCTGCAGAAGGGTACGTCCCACTCATTTATATTTTGATTTTCTTGGTTCATGCTCTGAGATTATCAAACCATCAGTTAGCACTCTTACTTTACCTGATTACTGAATTTAATCTTTGTAAAAAATGGTCAATTGCGCATAACATTACTCTAACTGATGCAGGCTTGGTTGTGTAAATAAAAATTTGTGTCAAATAATCAATTCAATTTCCATGAACATTATATTATCCTATTCTATAGAATCTTTGTAACCATTCTATACAAACCTTGATTTATCCAGTAGTTTTTTTTTTTTATATTCAGTTCAGAAACTGAGAAGACTAGTGATTTGGAGGTATCGTACAATGATTGGTTAGATGGTATCCAGTCAATATTACGTGCCAGTATTGAATCAGCTGCTAAATTAAAACAGTCAGGTAAGTGGTGCCAGCTTTCAAAGTAGAACTATTTCAACTAATGAAGGCATAATCACTAGCACTCTGTATGTGTTATAATCCCTTGACACATAGTGGTGGTGGTGGTGGGGGGGGGTGGGGGGGGGTTAATGGTTACCAATGTTTGTACAGAGTCATATTAGAAGCACTAGTGCAGGTAGTCATTCACACAGTGTTGTATTGAAGACATTGCACACTAAATCTGATCAACATATTTAATAACCATATATGGTCATTTGACCTCATTAAAAATGCATGAATACCATATGTGGACTACTATCTATGATATAAACATTCAACTTGCTTGTAATAAATATGTAGGGGAATCTGCCATCTCTGACAGCTTTGTTGTATATACTAACATATGATAATAATATTGGCATAGGTTCTTCACATCTAATGTAATTATTTACAGATGACCTAGACGGTAGTTTACTGGATCCTTGTCCAATCCCGTCATTGACAAGAATGATGGCTCAGACAGTGGCAGAAAACTTTCAACTCATATGGGAGTATGTCTATGCAAGCACGTAAGTCCCAACACAATTTTGACTATAAGTGATGATTGCAACAAGTAGTGATGATATAATTCTGTCTGTTCCGTCTTTATTTGCATATCCACCTAGAAGCCAAAACTTAGACCCCCCACTCAGAGTATAGGACACAATTATGTGTAACATTGTCGGTATATATATACCTTTTTATTCATGCACAACTTGATACTGTTTTATATGTAACACATTTCTTTGTTGTATTTATGTTATTTAGGAAGATCCATCCTACAAGGCAGACAAATACTAATGTAATATATTTGTGTTTACAGATCACAGTTTTCTGACAGTGTCAAAGAAATGATTAAAATGTTTACTAGATCATCATTCATGGTGAGTTGTGCATTTCATCAGCTCCAGTGAATTCTATTTGTATTCTTCATATTTTGATAAATATATGAGTTTAGATGCTAAGGAATAATTTTAATGAACCATGGAAGTCTATTCAATTTTTCAGTAAATAATGATCTCATATTTTCATGTCTTGATCAGAACTCACGACTGTAAAAAGCTTTTTTGACAAGCATTTGTAATTGTGTTTGCTTTCCTGACTATCCAGTGGTTTATGTAGGGTGAAAACAAGTTTTTTATAATTGATGTGTGTTTCTCAATGTAGGTTGGTCTCAATTCCATGCCTAATGATGAAGATGAAAGAGTAGCGATATTAGCATGGTGTACATGTGCATATACCATACATACAACAGAGAATCTACTTCGAGATGAGGCTAAGCCATTATTTGGTGCACTATCCTCAAGACAGGTATATTAATTATCAATAATATGAGCTATCTATTGCTTCAGATTTATACAAATGTTGATAACCATCACTAAATTTGAATGGATCTTGGTTTATCTGTCAAAGCTGTTTATGAATTTTTTTCATTGCCTATATTTTTTTCTCTGATGTGCACAGTGAATATTCAAGTAATGCCATATTTACATTAGAATATGTTTTGTGTGTTTTTCTTGCAGAGTGATTGTCTAAATGCATTGGTAAGATTTGCTGCAGTTTGTGGTCATGTGACAAACACAACAGCTGGCCAGAAACATGCTTTGCGACTGTTATCAAGTAAGTTATCAAATTTGCCAAGACAAGGTTTCTTCTCTAAAATTGCACAAGTGTGAAACTTGTGTTCAATTTTAGTGATCTTTGTAGTTCGCCACATAAAATCATGTTATATCTATGTATCCACCATACCCTCATCTGATCGATAATTACTGATGAAACAAATATATCCTAAATGTGTATGTAAAGCAACCTGATAAAAGTATGTAAAACTATTTAGTTTACAGTCTGTGCATTCTCCTATCAAATTTAATAGTGAGTTTCATTCTAATTTACACCGTTTCTGTATTCAGTCTCTGTTGATTGAAAACTCTCATTACATGTTCGTCTACGCAGCAAGTTACAACTGAAATTCTGTGAGAATTTTCTATGTATCTATTATTGTGTTCCGTCACTTGATTGACTTGTGTCTTATAGCTATTACTGCCATAGAGGACGCTGTAGAAACCTTACCCTGTATCCTGGATATTGACATGTTTACTTTATTGGTAAGTGTTGTGGGTACATTCCCAATATTTACAGACCAGTTAATGAATATTACTTCTCAACCAAGTGAAAGTGCAAAATTCATTATCCCGTTATTAGTTCCAGTGTTGTAGTTTATTTTGTAATCCATAATTTATCTTTACTAGGTGAATACATGTTTATCAATACCGTTACTACAACACTCTGACAGTGGCATCAATACCCAACTATCTGGTGAATCTATAAACCATCAACATGTTTTACAAATAACAATGACAGCTCATATTATGCAGATATTACTCACACCCTGGTCTGCATCATCGGGTATGTATTCAATCAACTTGGAATCTATGTATATCACTAACTGCCATTTCTTGTCCAGACATCGTTTTTATGAATTAATTTTGATCCAACTTGGTTCATGCATAGACATTATGCGTCTTTGATGCACGTCATTTTTTATTCAGATTGGATTCAAAATGACTGACTGACAAACTTTTTATTTTAATGAATTGCAATTCCAGATCCGTATCTCTGACAAGCCTCGGTCGATTGATCAAATGAATGCTTTTGTTTTTATGAAATTTCAGAATTCTCATTTCCATTGATGAGCTGAACAAATAATAATTTGTTGTGATTTTTACGATTATTGCAGATTGTGAAATGGAACAGGATGGTAATGTGGAAGCACAGCAGCTGTTGGAAATATACAAGCAAGTGCACATGTTAGTTGGGTGAGTACAACACAAAACTATAAATTACTAAAATGTTATCATAATAGTAAATAGTATAATATTTTGTATTCCTATAATCATTTATTAACTTCTAGCACACTTTGTTGTATAATGTGTGGCCAAGAAAATTGTTAACTTCTCGTGCTTTATTGATTAATGTTCTGCTCTTGTTGCTATCATGTTTATAGTAATGTAGCAGTGTTTAATTAAAAAAAGCCTTCTAGTTATTGTGTAGATATATACTTCTTTTCTTTTCAGCGTATACACAATATGTGTACTGTAAAATACTTTTATGGAATTAATTTTCGCTGAAAAGTCTGTTTGGGTGTTTTGTAATGGAATTTATTTTCACTGATTTTTGAAAAGTTTAATGTCAAATATAGAAAAAAAGGTATATTAGCTGGATTTTATTTTCACTAAATCATTCCTTCAGTAAAAATAAAGTATTCTACAGTAGTTGTAGATATATCTTTCGTAGTTTCAATCTACTAAAAGCAAAACTGAAAATAGACAAACCATAGTTATTGTAACATCATGCATCAAAACAACTTTGCCACAGTTAGTAAATTTATAAATAAAGACAAATTTAGTTTTCATCTTGATTTTGTATATATATATATATATTTTGTTTTTGTAGCGTGACCCCTGAAATGGTTCCATCACCATGGCAATTGTGGTGTCATCTAAGGAAATCATGTCTTCCGTTCTTACGTTGTGCAGCATTGTTTTTTCACTTCTTAACTGGTGTGGCTAGTCCTGCAGAACTTCAAAGTACGTAGTTTGACATATCTCATGGGTGTATTTATGTTATCTGTAATTTTTACTCTCCTGATAAGGTTGAAATGGTTTAGCAGCAGGGGACTAAAACAAGGAGTAAACTACTTTCAGTTGTTGTTTTGCAGCTTTTCTATCAAGTACATCTTTTATATTTTACACTTTGTTTTCTGATAGTATTGCCTTTGAGTGCAGTCAGTTTAACAATTGGGGATTAAAAGATATTAACGTAGTTAAGAACGGTTTCTAGAGCTCATTTGGGATTTCTCTTCCCTTTTATCTCAGTCACAATCTATTCACATCAAATGCAGTTACAATAAATTTGATGCATTTTTTTGTTTTTTACACCATGTGGATTAGCATAAAATCTTGGCCAAGTTAGAATACATCTATAGTTAATTAGAGATAAGGGCGTCTAAATTCAAGTGTTGTATACTGTAAAACACTTTATTTTTGCCTTAATTAATTTTCACTGAAAAGGTTTTTTGGGTATTTTGTATGGAATTTATTTTCACTGATGAGTTGAATGTAAAATATAGGGAAAAGGTATATTCACTGGATCATCCCTTCAACGAAAATAGTGAAAATAAAGTATTTGACAGTATCAGACAATTTATTATTCAGAAATATAATGTGTTTAAACTTCCGATTGTCTGAATTATCAGCTCCAGGAATTTGAATATTTAAAGTTTGACTGTATAAATACATTGATTTAAAATGCTGATTAACATGAATTTTAATTCATTAATTTGTATCTCTTAATTAATAAACAAACACGTTATGCTTAAGAGTCAAGGTCCATTTTTTTGATCAGCATCAGGACATGTGGCCAATGAATGGGATATTACAATGTATATCCATTTGGCTCAAAATTAAAGAAATTAACTTAGAATGCTTGGAGAAAGTATTGCATAGCACTAAGCTTTGGAGTGTTAACTGTGTAGATATCCACAGTGAGGGTATGTTGTCAAAACGTGGACCGAATAGCAGTTGTATATATTTTTTCTTTTACTAGATGTTGGTTTGAATGAGTTTGAGTCGCTATGTAAATATCTGTCAATGCCATCCAATCTTACATTGTTATTTGATAACGAGAACTCGCTCCAAATGAAATGTATACTTGAAAGATGGTGTAAACATCCTGATATCAAAACAAAACTGTGTGCTTCATCTACACTAGTCAGGTATGGTAGTATTTTGACTATTAAATACTGTATATCTTAGAAATTATTTACAATTTTAATTCAGTTGTCTCTGTGTATCATTAATGTTGGTAGAAACAATTACTAGCAGAGTTCTTGGTGATATTTACATTGAAATTGTAACTTGTTTATGTGGTGGTTCTTACAGGCATCCATTAGAAGTTAATCAATTAATTCAATTACCGCAGGATTACAGTGAGCTTATAAACTCTCCTGGAATATCATTATTTGTGTAAGTATCCACTACCTAGCGCATGTGTACAGTTACTCTATATCATTATTTGTGTAAGTATCCACTACCTAGCGCATGTGTACAGTTACTCTATATCATTATTTGTGTAAGTATCCACTACCTCGCGCATGTGTACAGTTACTCTATATCATTATTTGTGTAAGTATCCACTACCTAGCGCATGTGTACAGTTACTCTATATCATTATTTGTGTAAGTATCCACTACCTAGCGCATGTGTACAGTTACTCTATATCATTATTTGTGTAAGTATCCACTACCTAGCGCATGTGTACAGTTACTCTATATCATTATTTGTGTAAGTATCCACTACCTAGCGCATGTGTACAGTTACTCTATATCATTATTTGTGTAAGTATCCACTACCTAGCGCATGTGTACAGTTACTCTATATCATTATTTGTGTAAGTATCCACTACCTAGCGCATGTGTACAGTTACTCTATATCATAGTTGCTGTTGTTCGTTTATTATCTACTATATAATATTTATTGGTCTGAGCAGCATTTATTTATTTACTACTTTTTCCATTGCACCTTGTAGGTTTTGGAGTACTGTAAAATACTTTATTAGTCCCCGTTCGAATGCGCGTGCGTGAGTGCGTGCGTCTGGACCTGTATCTTAGAAATACCTGGACCAATCACAATAAACTTCACACATACATCATACATGACATTATACATATGCACATCAATTTGTTTCATTATCTGATTCAAGATGGCGGAATGGCAGCCATGTTTGTACTGAAAAATCATCAAAATTAAGCATTTCTCGGCTTTTTAAAGATGGATTTTGTTCAAACTTGGTATATACGTCGGACATTATAGGAACTTGATGCACATCATTTTGTTTTTCAGATTAGATTCAAAATGGCCAACTGGCGGTTATTTTTTTTAATAAATGTGGTTCTATTGCCATAAATCTCACTTGCTTTGACTGATTATATTCAAATTTTATTATTCATTATACATCATGTCATATATATACAGATGTATTGGTTTGACGATCTTATTAAAAATGGTCAAATGGTGGCTATTTTTGTGCTAAAAAATCATCAAATATCAAGCATTTCTGGCATTTATGGATGGATTTTGTTCAAACTTAGTACATACATTAGGCATTACGAGTTCCTGATGCATGTAATTTTATTTTTCAGATCGAATTCAAAATGGCTGACTTGTGGCCATTTTGTTTTAATGAATGGGCTTCTAGAGCCATATCTCTGACATGCTTTGACTGATTATCTTCAAATTTTATATATTCATTATACATGTACATCAAAATGGCTGATTATGTTTTAATTAATGCTGTTCCAGAGCAATATCTCTCAATGGGGACAGGTACTCGTTTGACGATCAGATACATTTTGATGTTAAACAATCATTATAATCATATTCCTGACATGGTTATAATCCAGCTATATTACTATAAACAAAACTATATATCTTAAATTAGATAACTAACAGGGACTGTGCCATGCATGTTTTGTTTTAGCTGGAATTAATTTTTGTATGATTTTTGATGAGTTGAATGTGAAATATAGGAAATAAAGTATATTCGCTGGAATCTATTTTCACTGAACCATCTCTTCATCGAAAATAGCGAAAATAATTCTTCAGTAATTGTGATTCTAATGCAGGAACATGTAATTTTCTTACTCTAATCTGAAATGAGTATATGACATATGAAATATGCAAGTGTTTGAAGTCTGTACATTTTATTTACCTTATTATATTTATTATTATAATGAGTCAGTAATTATAACATTATGATAATGTATTGATAACGATTGATGTGAAAGAGTACTGTTCATCATATTGAAAATATATTGGTCCTTATTTGTATTTTATAATAAGCTTGTATGCAAATAACCTAGTTGTTGGCACAGAATAATAGCATACCGTAGCTTATACAATTTTGTTTTTGATTATAGATGTCCTAGAGGTGACAGTCGGGCACCAGCACTATGTTTGTTATGCGGCTCTATACTGTGTTCTCAGATCTACTGCTGTCAGAATGAAGTGGATGGTGAAATCCTTGGGGCCTGTATGACACACACATTTACATGTGCTGCTGGCATTGGTATCTTTCTAAGGTAGGATAATAGTTTTATTATTGTGTGTAGTCAGTTATACATGTTGATGACTTGCATATGTTACCTTTATTTACTTTTTATACAGTATTTAACACATATGATAGCGATGCTATGCTATGCTATGGCAGCCTTGACAAACCGCAAGGTACATATAGTACGCATATGGTCTTGGTTATAATACAATTGTTTATTCTCATAGTGATCACTGTATCAAGATTTATTATTATATTTTAATATCTTTTTGACCATTTATGTATTAATTTATAACTGATTTGCTTTACAGAGTACGCGAATGTCAGATTATGATTCTATCTAAGAATAAAGGCTGTTTTTTCACTCCTCCGTATCTAGATGATTACGGTGAAACTGATCAGGGACTCAAGTAAGGTTTCAGTTTATTTCATAGTTGTAATTCTTCAGTTAAGTTGAGCAAATTAGTTCTACAGTCACTAGAATTTTAAACTAATCATTCAATCCGACCTATAATCGAGACTGGCGAAATACTTTTCATTGATTTCCTGGTATGTCCAATGAAAAGTTACCCTTCAATAAATGATTGACGTCATTGTTGATCAGACAAAAACAATTTCCATGTTTTACACATTAAATACTTTGCGTAAATATCCCAATTCTTCAAACACCTTGAAAAGCATTGATTTTTGCTACCTTTACTGTACTATGCAGATTCTAACAATAAAGGTATTGTATTTTACTTATGGGTGCAATGAATGTATTTGTTATGCAATCATTTTCAAACTAAGTTATATTTTGTTTTCAGGAGAGGCAATCCACTTCATTTATGCAAAGAGAGGTATCGTAAATTACAGAAGCTATGGCTGTTGCATGGGTTGCCTGAAGAGATAGCTCATCAGTTAGAGTCAAATAAGAAACTGTTTGACATAGACTGGCCCAATTTGTAAGTCAGTCTTTTTTTAATGAAATGCCTTAGAATTGAAAATTAATCTACTCAAATATAACTTGGCCCGGTGTGCTTGCCACTTATATTTAAATTTCATTAGTAATTTGCGAATATATTAATTTCTTATAAGGACAGAATTTGATGAAGCACTCTCTTTACATCTTTGTTATAAACAAGAAAAAGAGAGTATTGTTAAATTGACAGGCTGTTAACACTTACACCACACACTGTTAGTTAATTGTAGCGTGCTGTGAAATTCCTTTCATTGATAAATGCACATTGTTTGTATAATTACATATCAGTCGGCAGTTTTCTTTTCCTTAACTAATACACACAGTAGAATTAAGACAAGGTTTACATCTAAGCAATCAAATTCACTGTTACATATTCCCGTGCAGGTGAACTTCAATTCTCAGGCATTGCGGGTGGAAAGATTTTATCAGTTGTCATTGTTGGTTTCAGATAGATGTTCTCGCAGGGTTTTACTTCTTAATTTATTTTTATTTGATGTACATTTTTTATTCCCAAGATTGTATTTTTGTCAATGTATGGTTTGATCATTTTAAGATATTAGGGCATTTAAATGATTGAGGAATGTTAAGCCCAGTAGTGCTAAGAAACAAAATGTCAGTTCAATAAGGAGGTTTGGTTGGAGTTCAAAATTATTTGTTTCTTGTTTTTTTTCAATACTTGTACAAGATTCACGCCTGTATTTTCATGAAACAAGGCAAAATGCTTGATTTTACTTTTGTTTCTATGGTGATAGATTCCTTCTTATCTAGAAATGTTTTACTCAGTGACATAGGCTGAAAAATTCATATATTGTTTTTGACATGAATTTTAATTTTCAGCTAAATTCTAGTGAGTTTCTAATGCTGACTATAATTCAGCCAAAACTCTGACAATGCATACATGTACATGTACTTCATCTTTATTTCATCTTTGGTTATTTAAAGAAGCAGTGCTTGCCAATCTTTTCATTTATTCAACACTGAAATATAAGATATCTTCAAAAATTTCTAAAATTTTATATAGTCTGTGTTGTAATCCCTTTGTGAGAATTTACTGTTTCATTTATGCACTGTGTTTCACATGGGTTCCATATGACTGTCAGTTATGCACTGTGCGTCACATGGGTTCCATATAACTGTCAGTTATGCACTGTGTTTCACATGGGTTCCATATGACTGTCAGTCAGGCAGTGTGTTTCACATGGGTTCCATATGACTGTCAGTCAGGCACTGTGTTTCACATGGGTTCCATATGACTGTCAGTTATGCACTGTGTTTCACATGGGTTCCATATGACTGTCAGTTATGCACTGTGTTTCACATGGGTTCCATATGACTGTCAGTCAGGCAGTGTGTTTCACATGGGTTCCATATGACTGTCAGTCAAACACTGTGTTTCACATGGGTTCCATATGACTGTCAGTTATGCACTGTGTTTCACCTGGGTTCCATATGACTGCCATTTATGCACTGTGTTTCACATGGGTTCCATATGAGTGTCAGTTATGCACTATGTATAATATGGGTTCCATATGACTGCCAGTTATGCACTATGTATAACATGGGTTCCATATGACTGCCAGTTATGCACTGTGTTTCACATGGGTTCCATATGACTGCCAGTTATGCACTGTGTTTCACATGGGTTCCATATGACTGTCAGTTATGCACTATGTATAATATGGGTTCCATATGACTGCCAGTTATGCACTGTGTTTCACATGGGTTCCATATGACTGCCAGTTATGCACTGTGTTTCACATGGGTTCCATATGACTGTCAGTTATGCACTGTGTTTCACATGGGTTCCATATGACTCAGTTAATCACTATATTTCACATGGGTTCCATATGACTGTCAGTTATGCACTGTGTTTCACATGGGCTCCATATGACTGTCAGTTATGCACTGTGTTTCACATGGGTTCCATATGACTCAGTTAATCACCATATTTCACATGGGTTCCATATGACTGTCAATTATGCAATGTGTTTCACATGGGTTCCATATGACTGTCAGTTATGCACTGTGTTTCACATGGGTTCCATATGACTCAGTTATGCACTATGTATAATATGGGTTCCATATGACTGCCAGTTATGCACTATGTATAACATGGGTTCCATATGACTGCCAGTTATGCACTGTGTTTCACATGGGTTCCATATGACTGCCAGTTATGCACTGTGTTTCACGTGGGTTCCATATGACCGCCAGTTATGCACTGTGTTTCACATGGGTTCCATATGACTGCCAGTTATGCACTGTTTCACATGGGTTCCATATGACTGCCAGTTATGCACTGTTTCACATGGGTTCCATATGACTCAGTTAATCACCATATTTCACATGGGTTCCATATGACTGCCAGTTATGCACTATGTATAACATGGGTTCCATATGACTGCCAGTTATGCACTGTGTTTCACATGGGTTCCATATGACTGCCAGTTATGCACTGTGTTTCACATGGGTTCCATATGACCGCCAGTTATGCACTGTGTTTCACATGGGTTCCATATGACTGCCAGTTATGCACTGTTTCACATGGGTTCCATATGACTGCCAGTTATGCACTGTTTCACATGGGTTCCATATGACTGTCAGTTGTGCAATGTGTTTCACATGGGTTCCATATGACTGCCAGTTATGCACTGTTTCACATGGGTTCCATATGACTGCCAGTTATGCACTGTTTCACATGGGTTCCATATGACTGCCAGTTATGCACTGTTTCACATGGGTTCCATATTACTCAGTTAATCACCATATTTCACATGGGTTCCATATGACTGCCAGTTATGCACTATGTATAACATGGGTTCCATATGACTGCCAGTTATGCACTGTGTTTCACATGGGTTCCATATGACTGCCAGTTATACACTGTGTTTCACATGGGTTCCATATGACCACCAGTTATGCACTGTGTTTCACATGGGTTCCATATGACTACCAGTTATGCACTTTTTCACATGGGTTCCATATGACTGCCAGTTATGCACTGTTTCACATGGGTTCCATATGACTGTCAGTTGTGCAATGTGTATAATATGGGTTCCATATGACTGCCAGTTATGCACTATGTATAACATGGGTTCCATATGACTGCCAGTTATGCACTGTTTCACATGGGTTCCATATGACTGCCAGTTATACACTGTGTTTCACATGGGTTCCATATGACCGCCAGTTATGCACTGTGTTTCACATGGGTTCCATATGACTACCAGTTATGCACTGTGTTTCACATAGGTTCCATATGGCTGCCAGTTATGCACTGTGTTTCACATGGGTTCCATATGACTGTATCAGTCAGTTATGCACTGCCTGTGTTTCACATGTGTTCTATATGACTGTGGTAATCAGACATGCACCATGTGTGTTTCACAAGTTTTAGATTGATACCTTCATGGGTGAAATACTTTATATTTGCATCAAATTTGAGTTAGCACAGTGGGATAATAACTGCCTTCTATAATCATAATAGTTAACCTCTCTGCAGGTGTGAATACAAAAAGTAATAAGAGGGCCTTGCTAAATTCTAGTATGAATGTGTATTTTAATCATAACTTAAGGTGAGGTTGATAAATTCATATAGTTCATATATAGGGCATTCAGGGCTGTATAAAAGTGTATTTTTAGTTCTGTGTATGTGGCATGTACATAATATTGTTTTGTCATATCATATTGTTCTACTCATTGTCATGTATTTGTATTCTAGCTGACGATATCAACTACTGTAAACTATGAATGAATTGGTTTGTCTAATAATTTACTCTAATATATAGTCATTCATTTTTTTATTTTTAAAAAGAGAAAAAACAAACTAACATTGTGGCCATGGAAACATGATAGTATTTATGTGTATACACATTTCACGGTCTAGTAAGTTATAGCATTGTATATTGACTAGCCAGGACTGTACAAATGTATAGCCCAGTCTTCGCTATATGATATGTACTGTGCTACCTTATCTCTTACAATGATAATCTATAGTGGAATTACTTCTACTTATGTGTGTAAGCATGCATATCCTTAACTCCCTGTCATATCATCTCCCGTTTTGCTTCTCATTCTGGATCACCAGTTGAACTTAAACTGTGTTTGCTTGTAGCCTCCAGGATATTGCTTATCACTTGTGTATGAGCAGAATGTTGTAAATATCATATGAAACTTTCATTCATGAAAGGATTGTTATTTTATTCGTAGCTTTAGACACCAGGTGATTGGGAATACTTATACAGTGTTCACATGTGTAACCCACCGTTTAAAGAAACACGTTTGAACAGAGTACCGTTATAAGCACAACTTCTTGTAGATCTCATTGTTTATTTTATTCCATATTTTCAATACAAGGCCAGCAAATTAATTTTCAGTGAGTGACAGATATAATCAAATTAATATTGACATTTGTTGTTTTAAAAAAAGTCTAATGTTTCTGATATACCACATTCACTATGTGTTGAAAACAATCCCCTAGATAAGTATACTGACAACCACATTAATTTTTGCAAATTTTCACGTGAATTTTGCAGCAGTGACAATTTTACGAATGCATAATATTTTGTCCATCTTGTATATGAAAAAATAATGCAGTTCAGAATGACTCAAGGTGGTTTCGTAAAAATATCTGATCAATTCTTTTCCATTGACTAGAAGTGAATCAACATTTACCCAACCCCCCTCCTATTGACCCCTATGGTATCTAAGCAAGCAGGGTCTTGCTACTCAAAACTCGTGGCTCCTGTCACAATATATTATGGGATTGTTCAACTGCCTCATTTTATAACATATATAACATGTAGTCCAATACTTTAACCTCTGACCTGATGATATTGATATCTCTGCATCACTTCATTTGTGTTTTTCTTTGAATAAACATCTTTAAGTTGTACAATATTTTTTTTGTGTGTAGTTCTTTTCAGTTTAAAATAATTATTAGTAAATCTATATGTTGCTAGATGACTGGTTTGTCGTTATAACAGATTATGATTGAGGCGGCAGAAGCAAACTAGCTGGTAATGCAGGGTGGTTAAGGACGCCCTCTGGCGATACAGTTGAATCAGTATTACTAGTGGATGCTAACAATGGGACTGTGAATGGTTGCTCTGCTATTGTGTCGTGTTTTGGAACTGAGTGACCGAGACAAACCATCAGATGGTTTATTTATGTTAGCACTGTATTTATGTTGTAATCCGAACCATTTAATCTCAGCGTTTCCCAGGATATAATATGGTTATACTACTACGGTGCCATCTATAATTAATCGTATGCACAGTGCCATG